CTATAATACTACTAAAAAATATTACTACTACTACAACTATTAGTATTACTACTACTACGGCTGCTAAAATTTATCAAGCGAAAAGAAACGCGTACGAGCTACTACTACTGCACAACTTGACTGGTGTTCTCTTCCGTTGAGAGATTTTTAACGTAGTTTTTTAACAATCTCTTTTGACAAAACGTGCACATGTATGCCAACCAGTATTAACATACATCTTAGGTATGTATTACTGCAATACTAAAAAAATTGCTACTACTGCTTCTGCTGATATTACTGCTACCTGTATCACAACTGCTACCATTGCTACTGCTGCTACTTCTGATTTATTTTATTGAAATGATATAGTTTGAAAAAGTTGTTATTCGAACGTATAAATTTCAACAATTACATACGCGCGCACACTCCTTTATATCATTCACTGGAATTGACATGTTTATGTTGCTACTTAATATTTGTAATTTTACATTCAATTAGATATGTAGCGATCATTCATTTATTTATTGACTATCTTATATATTAATTATTATTAAAGATTATTGCAATTTTCAATGTTACTTAGTCTATGTTAATTTTTGTTTCTTTGCTTCTCTCTCGATCTTCTTTACTTTTTCCCGGGAGCTTGTAAACGAGACGGTCCGAGATTCACCTTAGAATAAAGTTAATAGCAGAACGCTCGTACTAGCAGATATCTAAATTAACGTGAATTATATATCTAAATTAATTTGACATACGTACATAGATGCATATGAATATTTGATTAATTAACAATATTAATCAGTTTTTAATTACTGATTAACAATAAATAAAAGCAACAGAAGAAAACAGTGCACGAATATGTACGGCCAGTACATGTATGTACATGTAACAAACTGTTAGTAACGCGCTTCTGTAGTATGAATAATAATAATAGTACAACAGTATTTTTTAGGATTGCAATATTTATTATTATTACTTTAAATGTTTAATGGCTTTCTGGTTGGCAAGCCGAACGTGTACAATTGCGTAGTAGTTGAAACTACAAATTGTAGTTACAACTACAAATAGTGAACTGAACACGTTTTAT